ACAGAGATCCACCTGCCTCTGCGTCCCAAGTGCTGAGATTAAAGGCGTGCGCCACCACTTACACCAGGTCTGTTAACCAAAAGGAGCCAGGTAGCTGGGTGTGGTGGCTCATGCTAGCAGGCCTGCCTACCCCCTTGGGAATCAGAGGCAAGAAGACCCAGAGGTTCAAGGTTATCCTGGGCTTCGGAGTAAGTTCCAGGTTAGCCTGCAGGTCATGAGACTGCAGTCATGTAAAGGCTTGCTGAGGTTGGTGAACCTGCCTCCCAGCTCAGCCTGTGTGGGCGTCCGAAGAGACAGGTCACAGCAAGCCGTGGTTGCTTTCCCCAGGGGCGAGTAGTGAAAACCAGCCGCGGGTGCGAAAACCAGCCTGCTTTGTGGCTTAGTCTTGGAAGTGACACAGGATCTCTCTGGGGGAATTCCTGGTCACAGACACTAACCCTGGGATGATGTGGGGCAGTGGGGTGGCTAGGGATGTCTTAGAGACTGATCGTATAGGTTGTATACATTACCCCTGCCCTGGACTCCTGAGATTGTAGTGCAGTATGACAGCCCCGGGGAAGAGTTTTCTCTTTAACCGTTGTGTCAGTTAGACGTAGTATACATCTATAACCGAAGCATTCCAGAGGCTGCGGCGGGAACATTACTGGATGCTTAAGGCTAGTCTGAGTTAATAAAAGCAAAACAAAACAAAGACCTACTTGCTTTGTACTGTTGTACAAACTATAGCTTTGTAGTGCTGTTGTGCTGTTAGCAGATTTGGTGTACACACTGGACCGCTGCTTGACTGTTTTGTACTTACATTTGTATGTTTTAAATTTATTCTTAAATTTACTTTGCATGTGCATATTAATGTACTTGTGCCAGAGTGCACCTCACGAGGCCTGTCCACTGAGCCATCCTCCCAACACTCATAAACCAGTTTAAATTGTCAGCAATATAGTCTTGTTTCACTTAGCTCTCCCGCGCCCCCATGTGGCCATTACTGGAAAGGCATTTAGAGTATTGGAAAGGACTGGCTTTTCCTAGACACCTGGTCTGTTTCTTTCCCTATTGTAAATATGGCCACAGTAGATATCCCTGTTAACAAGGACTGAGATTATCTTTCAAGATTTATTTTTGAGCTGGCAATAAAGGTGCTCACCTTTAATCCTAGCACTCGGGAAGCAGAGGCCAGCCTGGTTTACTGAGAGAGTTCCAGGACAGCTAGGATTGTTGCACAATGCTGTCTCAAAAACCAAAAAAAGCCGGGCGTTGGTGGCGCACGCCTTTAATCCCAGCACTCGGGAGACAGAGGACAGAGGCAGGCAGATCTCTGTGAGTTCGAGGCCAGGCTGGTCTACAGAGTGAGTTCCAGGACAGCCTCCAAAACAATACAGAGAAACCCTGTGTCGAAAAACCAACAAAGAATTATGTATATTTGCCTACATGTTGCCTACATGTATATCTCTAGGTGTGTGTGTGAGAGAGACACAGAGACAGAGAGAGGGAGGACACAGCCACCATGCGGGTGATGGGATCTAACCCTAGATCCTCTGGAAGAGCATTCTGTGCTCTTAACTGCTGAGCCATTTCTCTGGCCCCGCTTTTACTCTTTGAAAAAAAGTAAGTTGGTGTGATGGTGGCACACACTTTTAATCCCAGCACTCGGGAGGCAGAGACAGGAGGATCTCTGAGTTTGAGGCCAGCCTGGTCTACAGAATGAGTTCTAGGACAACCAGAGCTACACAGAGAAACCCATCTCAAAAAAAAAAAAAAAAGAAAAGAAATCCAAATGAAACATTTTGTTATTTGTGGAAAGACTGAGTAAACCAATCGCTAATATCCCTAAACGGTTTTCACAGCAGTCCCAGGAGGTCCAGTGCTGTCTTCTGGCCTCTGTGGGCCAGACGTACATGCAGGTAAAACACATGAGACATTAGCACAGCTCTTCCCTGCCCCATCTTCACCCCTATGCCCATTCCAAACTTCCTGGAGAAGGAAAAAGTAAGTTAAAGGTCTGTTTTGTTTAGCTGAGGATGACCTTGAACCCCTGATCCTCCTGCCTCGAGCTCCCAAGTGCTGGGATCACAGCCCTTGAGCCAGTATGCCAGGTTGGGATCGAACCCAAGTCTTGGTGCATAGTAGACAGACATGCTACCAACTGAGGCACAATCCCAAGGAAATGAAACCTTGCAATCACCAGAGCACGGTGCCTTCTTTGGCGTTGTCGGAGCACGGTCCCTTTCACTGTGTGGCAGGCCCAGAGCTGTTATTATGTTACTCTGTCCCCTGTTTGGAGCTGGCAGCACTGTAGGGGTAGCCAGGCTGGCTGCTTGATCTAGTTTGTTTGGGGTGTGTTTTGTTTCTTAGTTGCCAAAAGTTAATCAGAGCTAAGCTCGGGAGGGGAAAGCCCATGCAGAGGTGCAGGCAGGAATGCTGACCTGCAAATTGCCTGCCCCTTGAGTTCTCAGCGTGAGACCGTCAGAAAAATGCGGATATTTAGATTATGATAACTAACAGTAGCAGAATTGCAGTTACCAAGTAGTAAGGAAACTAACTTTGTGGTTGGAGGTCTTCATATCACGACGGGACTGTATTAAAGTTGTGCAGCATTAGCAAGGTTGAGAACCACTGAGGTAGAGTGAGGAGCCCTCAGACTCCCTGGTCTTGAGAGTGTGTGTGTGCGCGCGCACGCGTGCGCGCACCGCAGACCATGTATGGAGGGCAGAGGACCACTTGTGGGAGTTGACTCTCATCCCACCATGTGGGTTCTGGGGATCGAACTCAGGTCATCAGATTTGGCAGCAAGTCTTTACCTGCTGAGCCGTCTTGCCAGCCCAATGTCCCAGGAGTAGGATGGGAGACACTCGAGGACCTAACAGTTCGAGCTCTGCCTCTCCTTGGTGGCAGATCGTCCCCACCTCCCCTCCCCTGCAGCTGTCAACTCTGCCCACTTAGCTATGAAGTAATGAGCGCAAGCCACACTGTGAGACATCCCATTAGCCAGTTCTGGTGGCCAAGTCAGTGTCAAGGTGCCGGCCAGGTCTTGGGTACACAGTGCCTGCTGCGGTCGTGACTTGACTGGGGCCTGTTTGGGTGGAAGGACAGTGCCCTGGTGCAGGATGCAGGCGGGATAGTGTGGCTGACGGTTTGGCCACTGTCTAGAACTGCCACACATGCATACAAAGGCGGACATGGAGTTGGGGTCACCAGGACACTGAGACAGGCAACAAAACCCAGGACCCCAAGCGCAGCGCCCGGAACACGCCGCCCGCACACCCATTTCCCATGGTTGGCCACTTCCTGTTGCCCTCGTGTCCCGAAGCCTCCCACGTTGGCCAGCAGCCACATGTCCGTGTAATTAGTGTCGTGCAGGTTCCTCCCTGTGCTGTGCTCCTCCCTGTGCTGTGCTCCTCCTGCCTCCTGCTCAGCAGCTTGTGGTATCCCCGTGTCCCTGCCGCTGCTTCCTCTGCTGCTGCCGCCAATCCGCACACCCTGCGGGGCTTGCCTTCGGCCGCTGGGTGGGGGTGCGCAGGGGAGATCAGAGCGGAGAGTAGGGTGGGGGACGCGCGGCGACAGGGGTGTGGGTAGGAGAGGATGCAGGGGTGGCGGGTAATGTGGGGGAGTTGAGAAACACGGGTGTTGGCAGTGGCGTCCTGCCTCGGACGGGACTCGGGTAGGCAGAGAATGGCGCTTGGGGTGGTAAGGTTGAGGTCTGGGTGAAATGGCAGCGGTTACGGCGCCTTGGGAAACTGGAAGCCGAGGCCAATCTGAGCCTGTCTCTGCCTCTCTCTCCCCCTTTTCCATACAGATCCCCACAGCTGCCCCACTGAAAGCCCCTGGCCCTGCCTCCTCCCCATCACTACCTCACCAGGCCCCCCTGGGAGACAGTCCCCACATGCCCTCCCCGCACCCTGCCAGACCCCCTTCCCGCCCCCCCTCAAGACCCCACTCCCGCCCTTCATCCCAGCCACAGAGCCTGACCTGCCCGCCCCTGGAGCCCACCCTGCACCCCTGCCCTCCACCCCAGGGCCCCCCAACTCTACCTGGTATCTTCGTCATCCAGAATCAATTGGGTGCCCCCCCACCGGCCGGCACCCCAGCCCCCACGGCCCCAGGCCCACCCCAACCCCCTCTGCGACCCCCATCCCAGCCCCCTGAGGGCCCACTGCCCCCAGCCCCCCACCTCCCTCCTGCCTCCACCCCCTCTACCACGGCCTCCTCCTCTGAGCCTTCCGCCAGGCTGCCGGTCCCCACGCCCCCTGACTTCCGGCTCCAGTTCCCACCGGGCCAGGGGCCCCATAAGTCCCCCACTCCACCACCAGCCCTCCACGTGGTCCCTGAGCCCACAGCACCCCCTCCACCACCACCTCGGACCTTCCAGATGGTAACCGCCCCCTTTCCGGCACTGCCCCAGCCAAAAGCACTTCTGGAAAGATTCCACCAGGTAACCGTCAGTAGGGACACCTGACTTCCCCCACCTCCCCAAACTGGCCCCCTGCCCTGTGCCCTGCCTACTGTGTGGCCCTGCGCATCTGGCCGCCCCCCACTGTGATCCCATGCCTCACCCCTCAACCACCTGTCCTTCCCCAGGTACCGTCCGGGATTATCCTCCAGAATAAGGCTGGGGGCACCCCCGCCCCCCCGCAGACGTCCACCACCCTGGGGCCCCTCTCCAGTCCTACTGCCTCTGTGCTAGTCACCGGACAGGCACCACCTGGGGCTACTGCCTCCTCCAGCCATGCCCCAGCCTCCACACCTATGGCCACCACAGGTAGGGAGAGGGGCCTCCTGCCTCGGCATAGGCGCGGGGTAGAACAGCCCAGGTTACCCCACCATGCTGGTACCAGCAGGTGGAGAGGTCTCGGGAACGGGGCATTGGGTGAGCTGTGGGATGGGAAGGGTACTCACGGCGGAGGAAGGCTCCTCGTGCTGGCGACCCCTGGGTCCTCTCTCACCCTTCCCTGCTCTACCCTAGGCCTCCCTTCTCTACTTCCTGCCGAAAACAAAGCTTTTGCCAGCAACCTTCCAACCCTGAGTGTGGCCAAAGCTGCTGTGTCTGGGTCAGGGAAGCCCCCGGCACTGCAGGTAAGGAACCTCGTGGCAGCTAGGGATCCAAGTGTGAGCTGTCTTCGGGGTCACAGTCCATCGTTAAGGGCAGCCGGGGCAGAGACCTGGGAGAAAATGTTCCTTGCTCGTCACTCGCTGGCTTGATCATTCATTGGCTTATCTTCTTGCTAGGCTAGGACCTTATAACGCTGGCTTGATCATTCATTGGCTTATCTTCTTGCTAGGCTAGGACCTTACAAAGCTCGGGCCTAGGAAATGGTGCCGCCCACAAAAGGCTGGGCCCTCTTGGGTCATTCCATCAAGATCATCCCCAAAGGGCAGACATCAGTTGAGGCTTCTTCTAAAGTGCCTCTAGGCTGTGTCGAGTTGATGGCTAAGGCTAACCAGGGACACAGGCATATCACAGCATACCTGGCTTGCCCCACCGGGTATCTCTTGATGGGCAGGGATGCGGTAGCCGGGGCCAGCCCCCTTCACCATCCATGTCCCTGGCTAGAGAGGGGACCTAGACTGAGGAGACCGAGAAGTCTTCCTCCCAGCAGCACCTGGTCACTCAACCTTTCCTCCTTCCACAGTATGACGGCAAATTGTGTAGCCTGAAGAAACAGCCCGTGCTGCAACCTAGCAAAGAAGCCTGGTGAGTGACAGCCCCCTGCCCCGAGCACTCCACAGAGTCCCAGCTCCCAACTCTCCAGAGTTGTATGCATTCCCTCTGGACTCCAAGGGAATGATGGGAGCGGGCTCAGGAGGGGGCATGGGCAGGCTGCTGACTTTCAGAAGCTGCCATCTGCAGTTTGATGTCAGGGCTGTCACTGTGTCTGTACCGGGTCAGCGTCAGCGGTGGGGGAGAGCCAGGCAGATGGGTGGATAGAAGCCAGGCTGTCCAGATGGGCCCCGCGGGATAAGTGCACATCACTTTGAGGGCCAGGGAAGGTGGGGAGTCGGGAAAATTGAATAGGTGGTTAAGACGGCTGCCTGTTGGCTGAAGGCAGGCAAGCTGAGGGTAAGTGGTGCTTGTGTTTGCCACCAGAGTGTTTGCCCCTCCAGACCTCAACAGATAAACAAGAGTAGGAGATCTGCACCACCGTGCCAGTCTTCAAGGCTTGGGGGGGGGCGCGGTCACGTGATGGGAGAAACCCAATCTACTGTGATAGGGATTCCATAGAGAACCACAACTGAGAAACAGAGCGGGCGTTTAAAAGCTAACACCCTCCTAGGCAGCCCCACCTCTTCGCACTCTCAGGTCAGAGGCACTGGAGAGGTCCTGCCCCCTGGTGGCAGGAGACGGAACAGCATGGACCTTAAGGTTCCCACCTTGGCTACTCTAAGCGAGAGTGTCCCGACCCCTCACCTTCCCAAGCTTCTCTTAACTCTTCTGTCGCCCGCCCGTTAGCTTTGGTCCGTGGCCAGGGAAGCCACGAGACAAGTGGCGCCACCCTCCTTTACAGTCTCGAGTTTATAGCCCAGGGCTGGGGTCCAGGATCAGATTCCCCGGCCCTCACCCCCAGCCCTCGTTTGTGGTCTAACCCCACCCCCAGCTTCCTGGAGCATCTCCACAAACATCAGGGCTCCGTCCTGCACCCCGATTACAAGACAGCCTTCCCCTCCTTCGAGGACGCCCTCCATCGCCTCCTGCCCTACCACGTCTACCAGGGTGCGCTCCCCTCCCCCAGCGACTACCACAAAGGTGAGGCTTCCCCGCTGCTCTCCTCCCGTGTCCCCAAGTGCGCTCAGCTCAGTCACCGGCCCTCGGTGTTCGGGCCACAGACCATGGGCTAGGGTGAGCATTGCTCACTTGGCCGTCTACTCAAGCTTCCCCCAACCCATTTCTCTGCCTGTGTGGATTTTCTTCCTTCAGTGGATGAAGAATTTGAGACTGTCTCCACGCAGCTGCTCAAACGCACCCAGGCCATGCTCAATAAATACCGCCTTTTGCTTCTGGAAGAGTCCCGGGTAGGATTCTCAGGCTGCTGGGGTCCCTTCCCTGCTGTGAACTGTCCTTGCCTCCTTCTGGACAGGGGTGGGGGTCTCTCCTTAGCTGGGAGGGAGGTAGACGGTTGCAGCCTCACCACTCACATCCTGACAATATCTTCTCTTCCCCAACTTGCCCTCCCGTGTGTCCTATGCCTCACGGCACCACAGAGAGTCAGTCCTTCTGCGGAGATGGTTATGATCGACCGAATGTTCATTCAGGAGGAGAAGACCACCCTTGCCTTGGATAAGCAGCTCGCCAAGGAGAAGCCTGGTGAGGGGGGGTTGGGGCATCCCTGAGTGGGACATCCCCCACCTGGCATGCACCTTGCTGCTAAGATTCCCAAGGAGCAGCCTGAGTGGTTGACGCACCCAGGAGGCAGAGGCAGGAGGAGCTCTGTGAGTTTGAGGACAGCCTAGTCTAAAAACAAAACAAAAAACATCAAGGGTTGTATGCTGAGTGGCCTTAGCTTTCCTTGCTCCCAGGGGGCACACGGACTTCCTCATGCAGCCATACCACAACCCCTGGCTTTTCCAAATTCCCCTTAAGCCTTCTCCCACATTCAAGTACCATTATGCTCTTGAAAACAATCCACCATTCTGCTTCTCCCAGCCCTAGGTCTTTTTATACACTCAAAGGAGCCAGGACGCTAGTGTATAATCTTTCTGAATGCTTTGGGTTATGTTCTGGAGCTTTCTGCCTTTGAGAAGGAGATGTGTACATACATGTGTCTTCTGAGTGTCCCTACTAGGTCTGGGAAGGACCCTGTGATCACACACAAGAATTTCTATAACAAATCTGATGGGCAGCATGGGATAAGTCAGAGCTATATGCAACCAGCCTGGGGCTGTGGGTGTGCATGATACGGAGCATGTGCCTAGCACATCAGAAAACAAGGAAATAACCTTGAAGCATTTGCTCGTTTGTGAGGTCCTAGTGTTTAAACTCAGGGCTGATCCTAGAACCTTCATCCAGGGACTGATGGAAGCAGAGACAGATACCCACAGCTAAACACTGAACTGAACTCCTGGAACCTAGTGACAGAAATGGAGGAGTGATTAGCAAAGGGGTCAAGACCATGATGAAACCCACAAAGACAGCTGACCGGATAAGGGGGGAGCTCTTGAATCCCAGACTGATGGCTGAGAGGCCAACAGGGGACTGATCCAGACTCCATGAATGTAGTGCCAGGGAGGAGGCCACAGAAATCACTGGGGCCTTGGGTAGTAGATCAGTGTTTATCATGATTTATGAATGAACTTTGGGAGCCCATTCCAAATAGAGGGATGCTCTCTCAGCCTGGACACATGGGGAAGAGCCTAGGTCCTGCCTTGGATGAAATGACAGACCTTGGAGACCCACCCCCAAGGAGGGCCTCACCCTCCCTGGGGAATGATGTGGGGATTGGGTGGGGGGTTAGGGGGCTGGTGGAGGGACAAGGGAGAGAGAGCTGGGACTGACATGTGAAACATTCACGTTTCTAATTTAAATAAAAACATATATTGAGAAAAAACAAAACAAAATAAACTCAGGGCTGGGAGCATGCTAGACTAGGGCTGTACTGCTGAGCCACGCCTCCAGCCCCTCACTGGGAAATTCTAGGCAGAGGCACTACCACTGAGCTATGCCCCCTACTGGGGGATTCTAGGCAGGAGGTCTACTGGTGAATCACTCCCCAATCCTGTTTTGTTTTGTTTTCAGCTTTGCTTTTTTTAGAGACAGGGTCTCACTAGGCCCCCAGGCTTGCCGTTGTTTTGAAGTCTAGAATGGTCCTTGTGCTCCAGATCCTCTTGCCTCATCCTCCCGAGTAGCCAGAATGACAGATGTAGGCCGCTACACCCTCCCTGGGGCTGCATTTTCTGCTCTAAATTCTTACTGTTTGTTTCACGCAACCCTGGTAGGGCAGTGAAGTTTTAGGGAGTGCTTGGGAATCGTTGATAAAGGAAGCCTGCAGAGTAGGGTGACCCAAGGGTCTGCTCGGTCCAGACCTTCTTAATGCTACAACCCTTTAATACCTTCCTCATGTTGGAGTGACCCCTGACATACGGTAACTGTAATTTTGCTGTTATGTGTCATAATGTATATATCTGGTATGCAGGATATTTGATATGCTATGTGACCACTGTGAGAGGTTTGTCCAACTCCAAAAGTAGTTACAACCCACAGGTTGAGAACTGCTGGTCTAGACTCGCGCTGAACCACAAGATAAAATATTCAGTGTACAAATACCTCACTCAGCTTAGCTACTAACCCTGAGGATTTTCTCTGTCCCAACTCCACAGACGAGTACGTGTCTTCCTCCCGATCCCTCGGCTTCCCTGCCCCAGTGTCTTCCGAGGGTCACCGGCTATCCAGCCATGGCCCATCATCCTCATCTTCCACATCCGGAACCTCTGCCCAGCCCCCTCCTCACCTTCCCACCAAGCTAGTGATCCGGCACGGCGGGGCTGGCGGCTCCCCTTCGGTGACCTGGGCCAGAGCATCATCTTCCTTGTCATCAACATCTTCATCCTCCTCCTCCTCCTCTGCCGCCTCATCCCTGGACGCAGACGAGGACGGCCCCATGCCCTCCCGCAACCGGCCACCCATCAAGACCTATGAGGCCCGCAGTCGCATCGGCCTCAAGCTTAAGATCAAACAGGAGGCGGGGCTCAGCAAGGTGGTGCACAACACCGCACTGGACCCTGTGCACCAGCCTTTGCCGGCGCCGGCACCTGTGAAAGGGGCGGAGCCCCCGCCGCGCCCGGCTCCGCCCCCACCCCCGCCTGCCACGCAGGCGCAGATGAATGGCACTCTAGACCATCCCCCGCCCGCAGCGCGCAAACCCACAGTGCCTGCACCCTGCCCACGCCTACCATTGCGCAAGACCTACCGTGAGAACGTGGGCGACCCAGGTGCTGCCGAGGGTGCACAGGGACGGCCGAGGGGTGCGAGCAGCCCGACCCCACTGCCTGCCAAGGTGGACGAGGCCACCAGCGGGCTGATCCGCGAGCTGGCTGCTGTGGAGGATGAACTGTATCAGCGTGTTCTGAAGGGCGGCCCACCACCCCCAGAAACCCCAGCCTCCACCACCAGCCAGGGCCCCACCGAACCTAGCTGGGAAGCCCCCACGTTACCCCCGGCCAAACGACGCAAGTCCGAATCCCCTGATGTGGACCAGGCCAGCTTCTCTAGTGACAGCCCGCAGGACGATACGCTCACAGAGCATTTGCAGAGCGCCATTGACAGCATCCTTAACCTGCAGCAGGCCCCTGGCCGGACACCCACAGCCCCCTACCCCCTTACAGGGCCCACGCCTGGCACCCCCACATCCCCAGTGCCCCTGCACAGGCCAGACGCCTTCCCACCTTCCAGCCACAACGGTGGCCTCGGTGCCAGGACGTTGAACAGATAACACTGGGCTGCTCCTGCGGCCCCTGTCAGGTGCTCCCAACCCCACCTCCAGGGGAAGCAGCCTGGCAGCCGACCTCCACCTCTAAGGGGACGCTAAACCAGTTCCCCTGACAATTCTTGCCTAAGTTATTTGAGTCACAAAGGCCTCCCCCACCCTCCTGCATCCACGTTGGCTAGAGAGTTGAGATGGGGCGTGGGCTTCCTAGGGGAAGGGGGGCTGTAATGTACAATGTTCCCCTGGCACAGGCCAGGCCAGGGGATAAGAACGAGTGTTTCCCGGAACTGGGCTACTGGGTTGATGTACCGGTAACACCCGAATTCCAGGCCTTATCTGATTGGCTTCATGGATCACTATCCGGGGCGCCCAGAGCAGTGAGAGACCTTCAGACAGGCTCGACTCTCTTCCGATTGCCCACAGAGCCTGGAAAATTAGGAAGCAAGGACTCAAGCCAGTGTCCCAAAGTACCTGCGTCCCATCCGTAACGTGCACACGCCTGAGTCATCCCGTGTGTGTACATGCACGAGAGAGTAAGAGAGATTCCCAACACCCCCACCCCTCCAGAGGAACAAGACACGAGTCTTCCTTCCTCCTCCCAAACCGTCTTCCCTGTATTCTTCTTGCCTCCAGCCCACACGCCACGTTTTGAAATCTCGGAGACAAAACTAGTACTGTAAGATAAAGGTTTTTTTTTGTACTGTATTTATTGTGTATAACGATTTTTTTAAGGGAGAATTCTGTACATCTAGAACTCTTGTAAATTAAAAGCCAATCTTTTTTTTTTCCAAACTCTACTCAGGCCCCCTCCGGCCCCTGTTGCTTTTGGGTGTCTTATTTTGGGACTGGTGTTGGTGGGTTGGGACCAAGCCAACAGAGAGGAATTTCATATGTTGGGTGAGTGTCCACTGGGTCCTAGGCCGTGATCTAAGCCCCGTGGGGCCGGTGAAATGACTGCAGCGCTTTCCAGGACTCAGAATGTGATCGCTGGGACTTAACGTGGGAAGGAAGAACTGACTCCCTCGCGTTGACCACTACACATGTGCACTGGCATCCATGCCCACACACAAAGAAGTTGTAAGGGGGTTTCGGGTTGGTTGTTTTGGTTAATTAGAAGGTAGTCTCTGGAACCAATGCTGTCTGTTCTTACTATACCCAGTTGTGTTTACCTGGAAACGCTCTGAACCATTGCCCTAGGGAACGTGTGGGGTTGGGACCCGAGCAGTTCAGGGTCAGCGTTCTCAACACCTTATTTTTAGACAGTTTGCTGTTCAAAGACATCTATGGGGCTGCAGAGATGGAGCCCTGATTAAGAGTGGTGGCGCACGCCTTTAATCCTAGCACTCGGGAGGCAGAGGCAGGCGGATCTCTGTGAGTTCGAGGCCAGGCTGGACCAACAGCCTCCAAAACAATACAGAGAAACCCTGTCTCATAAGAGTGCTTACTGCCCTTGCAGAAGGCCAGCTTTGGTTCCCAGCATCTGTATGGTTGCTCACGACTGCCTGTAACTCCTGTTCCAGGGATATGACGTCCTCTTCTGGTCTCCTTGGGCTCTTGCGCACATATGGTACACATAAATACATGCACAGACACGTAAATAAAACAAGTCTTGAAGGTGCTGCATGCCTGTCACCCCCGCTCTTGGGAGGGAGAAGCAGGTTATTCACCGTTATTGTCAATTACTTGGAGAGACCAAGGTTAGCCTGGCCCAAACAAGACCCTGCCTCAAAGCACAAATGAGCGTTGGAGAGATGACCCAGCGGTTAAAAGCACTGGCTGCTCTTGCAGAGGACCTGAGTTTGATTCCTAGCAACCACTTGGCAGCTTATGGCCATCTGTTAGCTCCAGTCCCGGGACATCCGACACCTTCTGGCCTCTGAGGGTACTGCATGCATATGGCGTCTAAACATACAGGCCGACCAAACCTACACACATAAAGTAAATCTTTGAAGAATTTAAACAAATGCATAAAGATTGAAAAAAAAACACAAAACCTGGTTGGTATGCAGGAGGCCCAGGGTTCCATCCCCAGCTTCTCATGAACTGGACATGGTGGTACACCTCCATAATCCCAGAACTCTGGACAGAGGCAAAAGGATCAAAAGTTTAAGGTCGCCCTCTGCTACATAGTGGGTTCTAGTCTAGCGTGGGCTGGCTGAGACCCTGTTTCAAAAAAAAAAAGAAGAAATTAAGAAGAAAGGAAAGGCTGCAGACACGGTACCATGGATTTTGGGCGAATGTTCTTGGTGTGCAAACAAAGACCTGTGTCCTGATCCCCAGAATTCACATAGAAGCCAGATGTTACCTCACACCTCTTATCCCAGCACAAAACCTAGGAATTATAAAGGAGGACACGTGCCTTCCTCTGGATGCTGCACATGCGGGAGGAGGGGGGCACACACACTTGTATACATGCATAAACCACATCCAAAACCGGCAATAGGAACCTCTGGGCACTGGGTAACAACAATGAACCAATTAGATGGTGGCAGTCTTGTGGTTAAATGCCTGGCACTGTGGGCAGGCAGCATTTTCAGAAATGCAATCGTTGACTTGCTAGGTGTGGTAGCATATACCTATACTCCCCTCAGCATTTGGGAGCTGAGGCAGAAGGATTATTAAGGCTCATTTGAGCTACTTAGGGAGACCATATTTTATTTTGATATTTTTTCAGATAGTGTTTCTCTGTGTAGCTCTGGCTGTCCTGGAACTCAAGACCAGGCTGGCCTTGAAATCACAGAGATCTGCCTGCATCTACCTCCCGAGTGCTGGGATTAAAGGCATACACTATTGCCTGGCTAGGTGACCGTATTTTAGAAGGTCAAAATAAAATAAGCCATGTAATGTATAATATGAACTATGAGCCAGTCTGAGGGTACAAATATGCACCACTATGCTGGGCGTATCCTGTGCTGGGGATAGAACCTAGGGCTCCATGCATCCTAGATTGGCACTCTACCAGCTAAGCTGCATGCACTCAAGTTGCTTTATTTTGTTTTGTTTTTGTTTGTTTGTTTGCTTGTTTTCAACACACGGTCCCACTATGTAGCTTTGGCAGACCTGGAATTTGCTATTTAAATCAGGGTGTCTTCAAACTCAAGAGATCTGCCTGCCTCTGCCTCCTGAATGATGGGATTAAAATTGTGTGCCACCATACAGTGCCTGTACTCTCAGATTTTAAAATTACTGTTGTTACAAGTATTAAGACAGGATCCCGCCAAATAGTCCAGGCTGGCTTCAAACTTACCATCCGCCTGTCTCGGACTCCCTAGTTGGAAGATATAGGCATGCACCACTATGACCGGATAAATTATTGATATAACCTTCTGCAGCCTCTGTCTACTCATTTGCTAAGAGACAGAATGAGAGGGAGCCAAAAACTGGAGGACCGGGCTCAGCTCGAACTAAGGACCGCACGCGCGAGCGCGTGAATGTCTTCACGGCATCCGCCAGGGGGCGCCCGAGGCCGACACGGGCTGAGACAGGGGGCCCGGGCCCGCCCTGCCCGGTGCTCCTCCCGCGCAGCCCCACCCGGCTCACTCTGCTGCAGACGGGACAGAGCTCAGACAGATTGCTCTGTTCTCTCCGGGTCCCTGGTGAGTGCTCCCCAAACCCCAGCCCTTACCTCCGCTCCCCTGTAACAGTCTATGTCCTGTCCTTCCCAGTCCCACTCTTCCTCCGGGACCCTCCAACTCCTCCATTCTCCCCGAGTTCCCCCAACCTCTCCTATCTCCCGGAGTCCCTGCCCCCAGTTCTCCCAATCCCTCGCTGGCTTTCCTCACCCTCGAAGACCCCCTTCTTTGAAGTGGCCTTCTACCCTCCATGCCCATTTCTGCCCTCCTTGGTCTTTCTTGCCGCCCGAAGAGCCCTCTTCTGACTCACCAAGTGCATAGGTCCTTTAGCCAACCCTAATGGTATTTTTCTGAGATGTCCCAGCCTGGGACCCTGCCACAGTCCCCTCGTGTGTATGTCCCAGGTTTCCTGCCTCTGTTACCTCTCTATTTTCTTTCTACTCTTCGCTTTCTCTTTGAGTCACTATGATTGATTTTTATGGGTTTAATGTTTTGATTTACAGGGTTGTTGTTTTTTTTTACTGTTTTTTTTTT